AATTAGAATCCTAGAATTAGAATCGCTAGAATTAGAATCGCGGAATTAGAACCGTGGAATTAGAACCGTGGAATTAGAATCATGGAATTAGAATCGAGGAATTAGAATCGTGGAATTAGAATCGAGGAATTAGAATCGTGGAATTAGAATCGCTGAATTAGAATTGCGGAATTAGAATCGCGGAATTAGAATCCTAGAATTAGAATCGTAAAATTAGAATCTTGGAATTAGAATCGCCGAATTAAAATCGTAAAATTAGAACCGTGGAATTAGAATCGTGGAATTAGAATCGCGGAATTAGAATCGTGGAATTAGAATTCTCGGAATTAGAATTGTGGAATTAGAATTGTGGAATTAGAATCGTGGAATTAGAATCGCGGAATTAGAATTGTGGAATTAGAATTGTGGAATTAGAATCGTGGAATGCCAGATAATGACCGGTAGGAGCTCTGCCATTACTACGTTGATTCTGACTTTTATTATTTGAAGGTGACAGCAATGCATAGTTACCTATCATAGAATGCCAAACGAACTACTCATGATCCCCAACTCGTCTCATTTTGGAGAAATGGGATATTTTTTAACCCATTGGATTTTTTTTTTCTTTTTCTTGCAACTGGTTTTTAAACTATGGTGTTGATTGTTTGCTGTGGGATTAGGTTGTACCATGATATAATATCTACATCTTAATTAAATTATAAATGAACATTATAATCGTGAATTATTCTTCCATTGAAAGTTCTTTTGAGAAGAAGAGCTATCCTACAGAGACTCTCATGATAAAAACGATGGAGGCCGCTGATGCTGGACTTCTTTTGAAAACATTTGTTGACTGATTGGGATTGATTTACTAAAGGATGTTCATTTTGGCAGCCATTTTTTTTTCTTTTTGCTCAACCAGCAGGTTGGGTTGCCCATTGGAGGTGGATGGAGGGGATCACCCCCACCGAGCTATAGTGTCCTGACGGCGGAAGGACTTTCCCACCATCAGAATACACTGATCAGCACTTCCGTCTATAGCCTGCAGTGCTGATTGAACAGAAATTATCCGACTGGCTGGCTGCACAGAAGTTGATTGGTAGATCAGCTTCTGTACCACCACTGTCCCTGTATATAGATCAAAATTCGGCCAGGCCTTGCGGAACCAGCTGAATTTTGATCCATACATGGCCGACTTAACTTAGTATATGTGGTGAAAATTAACCACTTCCAATCCGGACACTTTCACCCCCTTCCAGTCCGGACACTTTCACCCCCTTCCAGTCCGGACACTTTCACCCTCTTCCAGTCCGGACACTTTCCCCCCCTTCCAGTCTGGACACTTTCCCACCCCTTCCAGTCCGGACACTTTCACCCCCTTCCAGTCCGGACACTTTCACCCCCTTCCAGTCCGGACACTTTCACCCCCTTCCAGTCCGGACACTTTCACCCTCTTCCAGTCAGGACACTTTCACCCCCTTCCAGTCCGGACACTTTCACACCCCCTTCCAGTCCAGACACTTTCACCCCCTTCCAGTCGGACACTTTCACCCCTTCCAGTCCGGACACTTTCACCCTCTTCCAGTCCCGGACATATTTCACCCCCTTCCAGTCCGGACACTTTCACCCCCTTCCAGTTCGGACACTTTCACCCCCTTCCAGTCCAGACCAATTTTCAGCTTTCAGCGCTGTCACACTTTGAATGACAATTGCGCGGTCATGCAACACTGTACCCATATGGATTTTTTAGCATTTTTTTGAGACAGATAAAACTTTATTTTTTTTTATTATTATTATTATACAGGATTTATAGAGCACCAGCAGTTTGCTTAGCGCTTTACAATATAAATGGAGACGATGCAGCAACAATACAGTTCAAGAGGGTTATCCCTATATCCATATATATATGCAAATATACCTAATTTTACAAAAACTATAAACTAAAAAATAAAAAAAAAATATTTTCTCTTTTTTTTTTTCTTCCCAGAACACCTGCAAGGTTTTAGAAGGGATACTTAAAGCTCTTTATACATTGTCGTATCCATTCCCACCTTATGTACAGTCAGATCCATAAATATTGGGACATCGATACAATTCTAACATTTTTGGCTCTATACACCACCACAATGGATTTGAAATGAAACAAACAAGATGTGCTTTAACTGCAGACTGTCAGCTTTAATTTGAGGGTATTTACATCCCAAATCAGGTGAACGGTTGTAGGAATTACAACAGTTTGCATATGTGCCTCCCACTTGTTAAGGGACCAAAAGTAATGGGACAATTGGCTTCTCAGCTGTTCCTAAAAGTTGTTTGGTCAAAAAAACATCCAAAACCTCTAGAAACACTAGTCCAATTTTTTAAGTCTTCGTGTGCATGGCCAGGTGTGTGTTATTCCCCTCATTATCCCAATTACAATGAGCAGATAAAAGGTCCAGAGTTCATTTCAAGTGTGTTATTTGCATTTGGAATCTGTTGCTGTCAACTCTCAAGATGAGATCCAAAGAGCTGTCACTATCAGTGAAGCAAGCCATCATTAGGCTATTATTCTGTCCCATTACTTTTGGTCCCTTAACAAGTGGGAGGCACATATGCAAACTGTTGTAATTCCTACACCGTTCACACCTGATTTGGATGTAAATACCCTCAAATTAAAGCTGACAGTCTGCAGTTAAAGAACATCTTGTTTGTTTCATTTCAAATCCATTGTGGTGGTGTATAGAGCCAAAAATGTTAGAATTGTATCGATGTCCCAATATTTAGGGACCTGACTTGTTCCAGGTCAGAAAATCAGAAAGTATTAAAGTCAAACCATCACTGTGAATATGACTTTTAGATAACTAACATGCTAAAAGGAGACACCAGTGATGGCAGCTCCCTTTCCTTTTTTAATGACACCGTCACTTTAAGGCTCCATGCACACGGGTCATTCTAATAAAGCTGGTAACGTTAGCTGTGTAAATTCATGTTAAAAACGCAAGTTTCTTAGCGTTTTTGTATTAGTGTTTTGCTGCGTTTTTTTTTTTTTCACGTTTGCGTTTTTTGAGCGTTTTTTAGCTTTTTTTTACCAAACAAAATCCAAAAAACGCTGGTTTGCCGTGATTTAAGCGTTTTTTCAGTGTTTTTACAGCTAATAACTCCTCTAGAAATCCACTAGTCCTGGGTTTTTTTTTAAAGCCAAAAAACGTTGATTCCAGTCTATGTGTGAAAAACGTGAGTTTTTTAGCGTTTAGTGGCGTTTTCCCACATTTGTGTTTTTTAGTGGTTTTTTTAACCCCCAAAAAGTTGTTTTGGTCAAAAAAACATCCAAAAACCCAATTTTTTAAATTGTTTTCAGAGTTTTTACAGCTAAAAAAACTCCTCTAGAAACACACTAGTCCTGGGTTTTTTTCTCCAGCCAAAAAACGTTGATTCCAGTCTTCGTGTGCATGGACACATAGGAGAACATGCTAGGGATGGACACATAGGAGAACATGCTGGGGATGGACACATAGGATAACATGCCGGGGATGGACACATAGGATAACACGCCGGGGATGGACACATAGGATAACATGCTGGGGGATGGACACGGGGATAGGAGAACATGCGGGGATGGACACATAGGAGAACATGCTGGGGATGGACACATAGGATAACATGCCGGGGATGGACACATAGGATAACACGCCGGGGGATGGACACATAGGATAACACGCCCTAGGGGATGGACACATAGGAGAACACGCCGGGGGGATGGACACGGGGATATAGGTAACACGCCGGGGATGGACACATAGGAGAACACGCCGGGGATGGACACATAGGAGAACACGCCGGGGATGGACACATAGGGTAAACACGCCGGGGATGGACACATAGGATAACACGCCGGGGATGGACACATAGGGTAACACGCCGGGGATGGACACATAGGATAACACGACGGGGATGGACACATAGGAGAACACGACGGGGATGGACACATAGGATAACATGCTGGGGGGTTTACTGGCTGTAGAAAAAAAACGTCAAAAGTCAAAAACAACCGCTGTAAAAACGTCCTGTGTGCATGAGGACCAGGGGCGGACTGACAACTTATGCGGCCCCTGGGCAATAGGGGATCATGGGCCCCTGTGTGTCGTTGCCCACACTCAAAAAAGCCTATAATAAAGGTAGCAGGGGCATTTCATGGGGCCCCCTACTGACCCCGGGCTCTTGGACGGTGCCCGAGTGCTCGAATGGTCAGTCCGCCCCTGATGAGGACTAACCCTGTTTTGGTTGTATTCGTTTAGAAATTATCTGGATATAATCTCAAGTCTGGCAGACAATTTTGGTAATAAAATAGATGAATATATGGCCAGCGCTCAATTTTCTTTTTCATCCTTTTCCCTGACTCCTTGAATTTTAGCAATTTTCCGATACAATTGTGTTCTTTTCATTCATTTGTAATAATATTCTTTTCCAGCCCTATCTATACAATCATCAGAGTCTTCAGAACTGTTTCCCGTTGTACATGTGTCAACCAGATCCCGGTATTATGGAGGTTCCCTCGTGGCTATATATGGCCAAGTTATCCTGAATACATTGCGCTTGACAAACACACATTTAATAAATGACTTTGGGCTGGGATTTCCAGTGATGGATGGGTGACTGCCAACAGCGTATGTACTTCATTTTTCTCTAAGCTTTTCCTTCTTTCTTTCATAATTGGCAATTTGATGGGATCGATTCATACCGTCTCGTTTTCTTTGTTTGTTACCCGTGTTGCCATATTACCACCGCGAGCCGTATGCAGCGATTAGAATGAAATACGAGCTTAAGGTATGCAGATCCATGAAAACTTCCTTTTTTAGAATGTTCGGTACTTTCGTCTACAGAAGGGATGCACAATAACCTGGCAAGGCGTGGTAGCGGCTGGCAGTGACTGGACTTGTAGTGTCTCAGGCCCTGATGGTCTATCCATTAAATACATGTGCCTCAACTATGGGGGCTCTATAGTATGGGATATATATATATATATATATATATAAAAATTTTGAACGCAACACACTTGCGTTCAGGAGTAGATTCTATCAGTGTTTCAAACGCAAAACGCTTCTAAACGCAGCAAATCGCGTTTATAAGCATTTTAAATTTTTTTTTTAACTCTTCCAGTTCCCGATGCTGTCCAGAGCCCTTTTTCATCATGAAAAATGCATGAAAAGTGTTTTCAAGGCGATCAGATGGACAAAAAACACTGAACACAAGATTTCCTTCCAAGCTTGTCACACATTGTAATGTAATGACCTCTCCACCCTTGGAAACAAAAGATTCACCATTCCTCAGACCAGACATCTCCCACCCTTGGAAACAAAAGATATGTTAATGACCATTCACACCTCAGATCTCTCCCACCCTTGGAAACAAAAGATATGTCAATGACCATTCACACCTCAAATTCCTCATGAAGACCCCCTGCCAGGTGGCCTTAATGATTCCCTCCACCAGACACCTCTCCCACACTTGGAAACAAAAGAAATGTTAATGATCAACTCACACCTAAGCTAATCTCAACACATACTGCTGTCTCTGCTTCTACTCTCTGTATTTCTCTGAAACAGTCTGAAATAGTTAATAATTTACCACTTTTCAGTGCATTCTGGGCATTTGGGAGGTTCTCCTGTGCTTATCTTTAAAAAACGCTTCTAAACACAAATGCACATAAACACGTTATGCAAACGCAGCTAAACAGTCCCTCCACTGGCTTCCCATTGCCCAACGGATAAAATTCAAAACATTAACAATCACATATAAAGCCATTTATAACTCTGCCCCAAATTACATCACCAATCTTGTCTCCAAATATCACCCAAACTTATTCTCCGCTCCTCGCAAGACCTCCTACTCTCTAGCTCCCTTGTCTCCTCCTCCCATGCTCGTCTCCAGGACTTCTCCATAGCCTCCCCCATCCTTTGGAACTCTCTACCTCAATCTATCACACTATTGCCTACTCTGCCCACTTTAACCCCCGGTTCACATATATGCGGCCGTGCGGGCCGCGTTTTGCACGGGCATGAGAGCCCATTCATTTGAATGGACTCCCGTGCGTGTGACACGCAGGGAAGTAGTCCCTGCACTTCTTTGGAAAACGCAGCCCACACGGGAACCTCGGTTCCCAGGACTGTTGCATTTTCCAGTGTGGGTGGCGTACCATTAGAACTAATGGCACCTGTCCGCGGGTCTGCAGTTCTCCATGCGGGTGGTGCAGTTGCACGGATTTTCGTGCGGATCAACAGTGGCACCACCCGCACAGATGTGAACCTAGGGTTAGGCGATCTCTGAAAACCTATCTCTTCAGGGAAGCCTATCTTGCCTTCAGCTAATAATGGAATCTTCTATTCCTCCTACCAGTCCATCCCCCACAGTTACTACCTTTTGTACCACCAGCCCCTCCCTCTTAGATTGTAAGCTCCCAGGATCAGGGCCCTCCTAACCCTCTTGTATTGAACTGTATTGTTGCTGTATTGTCTCCCGTTATATTGTAAAGCGCTGAGCAAACTGTTGGCGCCATATAAATCCTGTATAATAATAATAATAATAAAGAGTTGGAGAATTATTGAGGCCCTGATGGTATCTCAAAATGAGTTTCAGAATAATAGAGCAGAACAAGCAGCCATTCTCATCTAGGCTTTTGTTTAGCCCTTGTGTTCCTCCAGAGGTTTCTAGGGGTTCTTTGAGCTGTGGGTAATGGACCTCCCATCTGATGGTGTCTGCATAGTTCCCACTCTAACACCACGTGCCATGACAACAATGATCATTTAACTGGCTTTAATGGTGACATTCTGACAACTGCTTCCTCACCGCTGGGACACAGAACCAAGGTATTATAGCTGAGCATTGCACCCAAGGACTAGATGACACTAACTTAGGTGCAACTGGAACGCTTTATTGAACAGAAATACAGGTTTTTATACACTTCAGAAATAGGGGTAGTCCCCACATGAACAATAAAAACAAGTATTATACATTGGGATAAACATTCCACATTGATTAGATAACGAGGTAAAGCTGATAGAAAACTAATTCCATCTTGTAGGAACCTCCAGGAGGACTAGCCAACAGACAAAAACAATAGGTGACTCAGTTAACTCGATTAACAATGACACAACAGTAAAACACATCACGCCTTAATAAACAGATTACAGCAAGAGACCTCAGCATCAGGTTGTTTTGAGCTGATTATATTAACTACTACTTAGAGTCTCGTGGTCTGGGGAGGGGGGTTGAAGCAGTCAGTGCTGGTTTGGGCACAAAGACCCCAAATCTGTATCCTGGTCCTCCAGTTCTCAGAGTCTATGTGTTTTGAGGAGACATGGACTTGTTTACGAATTAACACTATTCCAAAAGGTCCCCCCAGGCACACACCTCCCAAGAATAGAGCCCCCCTCAAATGCCAGGGCCCATAGTCAGTAGACAAGAAGCTAGCCTGCAGTCTCCTCCAAAAGACCCTGTCCCAGTTGGGTTTGTCACAGTGTCAGCAGGAGGAATAGTGCCTCATTGTTGGTATCAGTGGGAGGAATAGTGCCCCATTGTTGGTGTCAGTGGATGGAATAGTGCCCCATCATTGTCAGTGGGATGAATAGTTCCTCATCGTTGGTGTCAGTGGTAGAAATAGTGCCCCATTGTTTGTCAGCTGAAGAAATAGAGCCCCCCCTTGTTGGTGTCAGTAAAAGGAATAGCTCTCCATCATTGGTGTCGGTGGGGGAGGATTGGCGTCATAGAATAGTACCCTATTGTTGGTGTCAGTTGGAGGAATAGTGCCCCACTGTTGATGTCAACATCCATTTACTTTTCAGACAGGTGTAGATTGAAGAAACCTGAAATCGGATTGGAAGGAAATTATGCTTCCTTGTTGGTATCAGTGGAAGGAATGGTGCTTCATTGTTGATGCCAGTAGGAGCAATAGTACCCCATCCTTGGTATTAATGGAAGATATAATGCCTCATTGTTGATGTCAGTGGGAAGAATAGTGTCCCATCCTTGGTGTCAGTAAGGGGCGTATCTAGCATGAGGCAAACAAGGCATTTGTCTATGGCGACAATTTTTACCGCCCCCCCATAATTAGGGACCTGTTGAGCAGCAGCGGACAGAGCCATGCAGGGCCGCCATCAGAGGGGTACCACCGGTACTCCTGTAGGTGGCCGGACAGCAGGAGGGAGAGCAGCTGTGTATCTCTCCCTCCAGCAGCTGAAAGCCGGTTTAAGGTTTCTCTCCCTCCTGCCGGATTACTGTTGCTGGAGGGAGAGACAAACCTGGCCGGATGGAGGGGGTGCACTGGTGTTCCAGAGTAGCTGCTCTTCACTGAGCTCCTTCCCCCGCCCGCACTCAGAGCCGGGACCAGGGGACAGCCTGGAGCAGGGAGAGGAGAAGTGGTGGAGAGGAAAGAGCCCGGAGGAGGTGAGCTGTGTTGTGTTCTCTGGGCTCTCCCTCCTGCTGTCCATCCATCACAGGATACACTGATAGATCGTATGGGACTGCAAACACACAATATGATTACCCCCCTTCCCAAATTTCCTGTTGCCCGGAGATCAGCAGCCCTTGGAGGGGGGGGGGGAATCATACTGTGTGTGCAGTCCCATACGATCGGAGAGAGGAAGAGGGGAGAGAGGGAAGAAAGAGAGAGAGAGAGGGCAGCAGAGAGAGAGAGAGAGAGGGGGCAGAGAGAAGAGAGAGAGGAGAGAGGGAATTGAGAGAAGAAAAGAGAGAGGGGGAAGAGAGAAAGAGATAGAAGAGAGAGAGAGGAAGGGGCTGGAGAGGGAAGAGAGAGAAAGAGAGGGAAGAGAGAGAGAGGGGAAGAGAAAGAGAGAGAGAGAGGGGGGAGAGAGAAAGAGAGATAAGAGAGAAAAGAGAGCGAAAGATAGAGGGGGGGGGAAGACAAAGAAAGAGAGGGAAGATAGAGAGAGAGGGAAAGAAGAGAGAGAAAGAAGAGAGAGGGGGGGGGAAGAGAGAGAGGAGGGAGAGAGGGAAGAGACAAAGAGGGGGAAGAGGGAATAGAGGGGGGGGAGAGGGAAGGGAGAGAGAAAGAAGAGAAGGGGGAAGAGAGAGAGAGAGAGAGAAAGAGAGAGGGGGAGAGAGAGAGGAGGGAGAGAGGGAAGAGGCAAAGAGGGGGAAGAGAGAGAGGGGGGAGAGGGAGAGGGAGAGAGAGGGGGGAGAGAGAGAAAGAGAGGGGGGAGAGAAAGAGGGAAGAGAGAAGAGAAGAGAGAGAGAGAGAGTGAGTGAGGGAATAGAGAGAGAGGGGGGACAGAGAGAAGAGAGAGAAAGGGGGAAGAGAGAGAGTCATATATACATACACACACTTATTGAACTCTCTTGCTCTCTCATTGGGGGGGGGGGGGGGGGGGCGCAACATGTTTGTGTTGCCTAGGGCAGCACAAAATCTAAATACACCACTGAGGTCAGGAGGAGAAATTTGTGCCCCAAGGGCCAGATAGAGACCGGCAGAGGGTAGGCTGCAGTTGGAAGACCACTGGTGTACAATAGTAGACAGTGACGGTCAATGGCCTGGTGATCATGTCTGCCTAGATCACAAGATATTGTGACAGGTAGAACAATTTATATATTCAGCCGGTGTGGTCAGTAACCTTGCCTGGAGTCCGGCTTTATTCTCTAACAATATGCAGTTTTCCTACCAATCGGTCTATTTGGCAGGAAATCTCCATGATTTGGAGAATGAACCATCATGGGAAGTCCAATCCATTTTATGTTTTATTTCCTCCTTGATTGTTTTAGTGCCTGTGACTGTGATTTCTTCCAAGCCGCCGTCTGTTGATAATAAGTGGGTGGCAGTGTTTTCAGTCTGCGATTTGCTTTCCGTTCAAATGAAGGAACTCCAAACAGTGATTATGTTGTCAGATTGGTATATGAGTAACTCAAGGCGAGATGTATAATACGTACGGCTATAACCTTACACCGAGCGACTTTGGATATGAGCAGCAATTTCTGTCCTAGTCATAATGATACAGTAAGGAGGCTCTAGATGTTCCTGAGATCGCATTTACATTTCTTCTATATTGTTATTTATATACATTTGATCTTTTTAATAAAGGGAATAGCAAAGCCGTAATTGTAAGCAACCAATCAGCAACAGCCACTGGATTTTCGGATAGATTGTAGAAATAAGAAACTCGATTGGTTGCCAAGTATGTGATGGATCATAACTACATGTATGGTGATGCTGACTACGATACTACAGGATTGGGAGATTATTGTCAGAGGAAAACAGGAAGCTGGAAAAAAGGCGAAAGTACTGGTGGGATCAACAGGCAGGATTGTGGATAAGGGGGTACTACCAGTCCTCCTGTATGGGGCCCAGGACAGCAGGGGGGTCCAAGCAGCAGTGAGAATCAGATGTGGGCAGGGAAGGTGATCGGTATGGTGGAGGGGCAAGTGCTGGAACTAGGGTTGCACC